ATTGACCTAATTGATTAGAATTTCAATGAATTAAAATGTACATTCTCCTAATATTAAAAACGAACCAAACACCTTACTTAAAAAAAAAAAAAAAAAAAAATTGGAGCAAAATTACAAAACCTTCACAATTGTTCAATTAAAAGTTTATAGATATACAATTGTCCAATTCATGTAACCCTCTCTCCCTCTGTCTGGAGACAGCTAGCATGTCAATTAGTCTAAGGTTAAGCAATACTTAATTTTTTTCCCTTTCAGATTAAACAAACTAACTTATGACAGCTAAAAAAATGACATTTCGAAAATCTAGTGATAATAAAATTTACAAACATCATTACATATACGTTGCTTTCAAAATCCCTCCTTCACCTTTTTACTACTTTTCCCATTCTTTTAAAATTTTAATCCATCTTTTTTGGGACATGCTTCAATTATTTAACTCCTAATTTTCCTAATTCTCCTCTACTTTTTCCCTCTTTTCACTTTTTGGACGGCTGCCACTCAATTTTTTTATTACTTTTTTTATTTTTTTTTTTAAACACATCAAATTTGAGTCTTCTCCACATAGATTTCTTCCACACTGCACCTTCCTCTCCTTCTATAAAAAAACCTCTTCATAATAATACTAAGCATTATTAGAAATAACCGTCCATATTTTTGGTTCTCTTGTTACCATTTTTCTTAGCTGCAAATAACAACAAGAAACACAAAAATAAAAAATATCACATTTGCAGCTTCTTTCTTAATGGAAAATTATTCTATTTACAGTTCAAATTTAAATTCATCACCAAGAGTGGTAGCCATGCTGCTCGCTTTAGTATCGGCCATCGTGCTTTCGCCAATTTACGCAGATCGCCGGAAAATCGAGAGCCACCTCGAGATGCGGTGGAGCTCCGGCGGCCTGGTGCTGCCGGTGGTGGTGGTGGCCGGGTTAATAGTCGCCATCAGGACAACTAATTCTTCCTCCAAGAACCATTCATTGCAAAAGGGGTCTCAGTCTCATAATAATGGTGATATTTATCGGTCTCCGGATGATAATAACTGTGGGGCTAGTTTGGTTTTCAGGATTGGGAGCTCAAGTTGGGGGCTAGCAGGGATTTTGGTCATGCTTATTTTTGTGATTTCATGGCAGGATTATGTGAAACATATTTTCTGGAGATAAGAAGGGAGGGAAATCATGTAGAAAATTTAAAAATAAGTTCACCAATCAGCATTAGTATATCTGTATATGTTGGTTGTTTTTGTATTTGTATTTATTTGCCTTATGTGTGAGGGTTTTTGTGGCATTGGGAATTGAACTTTCAGCATCTGTATCTACATTAATATATATGTGATGCACTGTATTGTGTATTATGATGTGCCTTAATGTTAAACCCTTAGCTGCAGTTGTTGGTTGCTTGATTTTGCTGTGGGCTTTTGATCTTTTGAACTTCACTTGTCTTTGTGAACTACTATTTAGGATGTAACTTGTAATAAGAGACTTGATTTTGCTGTTGATCTTTTGAACTTCACTTGTCTTTGTGAACTACTTTTTAGGATGTAACTTGTAATAAGAGAAAACATGAGTTAAAGAAAAATCATTACCATCTGAAAAAAATACATTTTTTAGTGTCATGAAATTCAATAAACCTCATATTTTGAGTTGATCACATTTAGTGTCATGAAATTCAATAAACCTCAAATTTTGAGTTTGATCGAAATTCGAAGCTCCCATTGGATCCCACATGGATTTTAACCATTGCATCAGATATACTCACACCCCTGCATCTGCTCCATAAAACGAGCTAAATTATAAAAGCCAGACTTAAATTGC